TTCAATTTTCTCCCATTGACAATTATAATGGGGAGGTCGCAAAATTGACCTGACCTTAGGTCATCGATATCAAAATTCTGAGATATACATTTTGTACATGCTATTGCTCTTAGCAATCGCTGAAAGTTTCAAAGCGATCGGTCACTCGGTGTAGCTATGACAGACATTGAAATTTTTTATGAGGTGAGGTCACTTCAAGTGACCTGGTGACCTGACCTTGAATGACCTTGGTCTGAAATTTTCACAACATGTGTAGAATTGATGTATGATAAGGTGTACCAAAAACGGCGGCGTTTTTGAGATATTCGCGAAAAACCACAAGGGGGGGTGTTCAAACACCCCCCCCCCCCCAGCTGGGCGCGGGTTAACACTATTTTGGCTCAGTATTTGAATATTTGGCACATAAGTGGGACAAAAATAGTTAAAATAACAAAACACGTTCTGGTTTCATTCACGTGTTCTATTTTTTCATTCTTTTTTTTCGAACATGGTACGTCTAAGCCAATCATTGCTGCCGTTCAACATCGGCAAAAAAAGCAAAAACGTGTTACTTAGTTCAACAGAAGATTGCTGGCTTGTAAATGATGTTACAGTGTTATAATTTGGCATGCCAATGCGCAAAGAAGTGACGCTACCTTGATGAAAATTTTGGCTCGTTATTTGCACTCGAATTTGAGATATAGGACTCCAAAGTTCGGAACGTTTTTTTTTGGGCCACCCGGTAGATAGAGCTGAAAAGCTAATAGAACACCCACGGCTCCAGTGGCGGTCGCAGGGGGGGGGGACATCAGGGCCATGGCCCCCCAAAGGCAAATCAGGGGGGCCATCATATCATTTGGCCCCCCCCCCAAACAACCGATGGGCCCCCATGGCCGTATGGGGCCCTGGCCCGTATTCGATTGTCACGAGGCTCGAGAAACCCACGCCAGCTATTAACAGCTCCCATACCAGTCTTTGAGGGTCCTACACTGACCTCTGAGGGCCCTTCAGTGGCGGTCAAGCGTCCACATTGACCGCTGAGGACCCGTATTGACCTCTGAGGGCCCTCCACTGGCCTTTGAGGGCCCCTAAACCGGCCTTAGGGGCCCAACCGGCGTCTGAGAGCCTCACACCGGCCTCTGGTGACCTCATTTCTGTCTCTCGAGTCCCAAGACTAGCCTTTAAGAGTCTCTGAGGGCCCCGCACTGGATTCTGAAGACCCGATGTCGAGCCAGCATCGGCCTCTGGGGGCCCATCTTGGCCTTTGAGGGCCCTCCGCTGGTCTCTGGGTTCCAACGCCGGCCCATGCCGGCCTTTTAGGGCCCCACACTGACCTCTAAGGGCCCATGCTGGCCTGTAAGGACCCACATTAGCCTCTGAGGGCCCCCCGCACTGGATTCTGATGACCCAATGCCGGCCGCTCAGGGCCCGCATCGGCGTCTGAGGGCCCATCTTGGCCTTTGAGGGCCCTCCGCTGGCCTCTGGGGTCCAACGCCGGCCCATGCCGGTCTTTTAGGGCCCCACACTGACCTCTGAGGGCCCATGCTGGCCTGTAAGGATACACATTAGCCTCTATGGGCCCCACACTGGATTCTGAAGACCCGATGCCGGCCTCTAAGGGTCCGCATTGGCCTTTGAAGGCCCATCTTGACCTTTGAGGGCCCTCTGCTGGCCTCTGGGGTCCAACGCCGGCCAATGCCAGTCTTTTAGGGTCCCATTCTGATCTTTGAGGGCCCCATGCTGGCCTGTAAGGGCCCATATTAGCCTCCGAGAGCCCCCGCACTGGATTCTGAAGACCCGATGCCGGCCTCTAAGGGTCAGCATCGGCTTCTGCGGGCCCATCTTGGCCTTTGAGGGCCTTCTGTTGGCCTCTGGGGTCCAACGCCGGCCCATGCCGGTCTTTTAGGGCCCCACACTGACCTCTGAGTGCCCGTGCTGGCTGTAAGGACCCACCTTAGCCTCTGAGGGCCCCGCACGGGCTTCTGAAGACCTGATGCCGGTCTCTAAGGGCCCGCATCGGCCTAGTCTGAAGGCCCATCTTGGCCTTTGAGGGCCCTCTTCTGGCCTCTGGGGTCCAACGCCGGCCCATGTCGGTCTTTTAGGGCCCCACCCTAACCTCTGAGGGCTCCATGCTGGCCTGTAAGGACCCATATTAGCCTCTGAGTGCCCAATTCGGTCTCTGATGGTCACAAACTGCCCTTTGCAGGCCCTGTACTGGTCTCTGAGGGCTCTAAACTGGCCCCTAAGAGCCCAAACCAGCCTCTAAAGATCCCACGACCCACACCGGCCTCTGATGGTCCCATTTCTGTCTCTGGGACCGAAACTGCCCTTATGTGCCTCTGAGGGCCCCGTACTGGCTTCTGAAGGATCGATGTCGGCTTCTGAGGACCCATACCGGTCTTTAAGTGCCTCATACCGACACCTGAGGCCCCACACTAGCCTCTGAGGGGCCTGCAAACTGGCCTATGTGGTCTCTACACCGGCCACTGATGGCCCTATTATGTTCTCTGGGGGCTCAAGCCTTACCTTTGGGCGTCACGCACTTGCTTATGAAGACCCACATCAGCCTCTGGGGCCCTACTTGGGGCCTTTGAGGCCCTTCGCTGACCCTTGGGTCCAACGCCGGCCTCTGGGGGTCTGGCACCGTACTCTAAGGGCCCCATTGCAGCCTCTAGGCGATAGGTATCGCCGAAGCGCTATCGATGGGCCCATAAGTGTAGGAACCATGGGTGCAGTGGGCGCAGTTGCACCAACAATAATTCTGCAGTGAGTGCAGACAATGTATTCTGCATCCACAATAATCTGGAACAAAACCCCCTTTCCTCAGCAACACTACTTTCCATGCAGCACGACAAATTTAGGATATTTTGCCCACTATCCGTCTTTCGAAGCATTTGCTACTGTAATGGTCTTCAAAACTTGCATTTGTGCTCAAGTAAAAAAAAGATTAAACGGAAGTCGGAACACATGTGATTGAACAGTGAACAGATACCGATGACCCACTGTTAAAAGTTTTAGCACAATGATCTTAAAAAATGGCAAAGTTTTTTTTTGCAAAGAAAATGGCAAAGTTAGCCGCCTTTACTTTTGCGGTAGTCCATTCACAGTTGCGTGAATTATTGACATAATCAACAAAATGCACTTTTCGGTACCTTTTCGACATGGTGCACCCTCAAAGCTCTCAATGAGCCTCCGCTCGGGTGCCGCTCCCTATCCCCCCCCCCCGCTTCACCGGCCATGGCCTAGATTTCTGCACCCGTGCACTACGCCCGTGGGCCCCTTTAAGCTAGCACCGGGCCCCCCGGGTCAGCGCAGGGGCCCCTTTGCCAAGTTGGCCCCCCCCCCCCCAAACTCCAAGTCTGCGACCGCCCCTGCACGGCTCTGAGCAAAGAGGCTACTATGTCAGTTATGACACTCACGGAAAAGGTCATGTTGCATGTCATTCTTGTTTAGCTGAACACACCTATGGTGTTTTCAGCGCTCTAGCATGTTTCTAACTAAAGTTATGATAAAAAACTGGTGGAGATGTTTCATGACCTGATATAACCTCAGGGGCATACAAGGGGCACGGGTGCAATTTTCCGGTTCAGTGTGTCATGTTTACCTGTGTCACGACCTTACTTAATTGACCTTAATTGACCTGACCTTAGGTCACCGTTATAAAAATTCCGAGATGTAGGAATTATTTAGATTGATTGCCTAATGCAACCGAGTTTCAAACTTCTGGGACTTAAACTATAGGAATGACAGAATCACAAAGCGTTTTTAGAGGTATGGTTACTTAACGTGGTCTTCTTTACACGCGCAAAAACTGGCAGGTGTGGCAACAAACTCGGGCGAAACACAGACTCGGTCTCAAACACAGAACAGCGTTATTCAAACTGGTTTGAAACTGATTTGCTTGCCTTGTTCTTGTGTGTAGGTATGTATTGTTTTAACCCTCGCCAGCCGAGGGGGTGCCGCCCTCCCCCCATAGGTTTTTGTTTTTCGCGATAGCTCGGGACACGCCGGGGATAGAGAGCTGAAAATTGGCATAACTGACCTTTGATTCATGCTGTCCCAGCCCGGAGGGAGCTTGGGGATACCTTCCCGGCGCTCCGGACGGGCCGCGGCGCCCCGCCCGCCCCTCCTCGCAGTGCACCATAGCACAACCACAGATCCGTTGCACAACGCAGTGCGAGGCAGGGCCCCTGACGGCCGGCCGGGCATACAGACAACAGCGTTCTGGCCACTCGCATATACCTACCCGGCCGGCCGACCGGTCCCACAGAAGCTTCTGATGGACCGGTCACGGGTTGGTCCGGATGGGAAGAGCAGGGCGCCAGTCACACATGATGTGCTGCATATATCACAGGCCACTCATCACGTTCACCGGTTGGGATTTTTTTTTTTTGGCTGCAAGAAGAGGTTCTTCCTTTGCGGGGCCTGCTGGTGAACTCTGACACAAGTTCATGGCGGTCCGCCTTTAGGACATCCTCCGAATACTTCGCACAAATCTCCGTGTGGTCATGTTTATCATGTTAACCATCGCCCGTATTGGTGTTTTTTTTTTTCATCCGCGAACGTATATGAGGGGGGTCCCCTGGACCCCTCTGCCGTTTCGCCCCTGATCGAGCTAGAGCTTTGCGGAAAAAAACGAGCGTGCTGCCCGTGACGAGAGAGCGCCGATGATACCAAATTTTAAGGTCCTATAAGGTCATTGGTTGACCTTCCAGGTCAGGTCAATGACAAAAAAGTCGGGAACATCGGGACCTGTTAGAACGTCGTCAAGTGTGGCTGCTATGGATTTTTCGGGCGAGGGTTTTAGGGTGTTTACTGTTTACAAGTCCATGATCATCCCCAAACCTGGAAACGCATGTATTGATGGAAAATGAAGAAATTGGATGTTAATATTCTGCTATTTGTGTGTGTTTTGTCAAGAAGTACAAATTAATGAAGGGGGGCTCTAAGCTTCCCAGGGGGGCTCAGTTCAGCACAGGGGGGGCTCAAGCCCCCCAAAGAGATATAAAGTTACGCCCCTGGAGAACAGGAACCTGATTTGCGTTGTGATCCAGGTAAGCACTAGTCAAGCGTTATTTTTCGTTTTAGTCATCACTTTGTATCTTTATAATGTGTCATTTGCCATGTAACTATTTTCGCTGTCATTGCAGTGAAAAAAACTTATCAGAGATGGTAATTGGCATCCATCGTTTGTTAGGTGTGGTCTTCAACGTTTCGTAAAGTTGTGAGGTAACGTTGGAAACGTAAGAGTTTACCAATGGACATTACTTATGCAATATGCATGTCCAAGTTTCAAACAAGTTTCGCCAATTATGGTAGGAGAGTTTACATTTGCTAATGTAAAAGATGTTTAATTTTGCATTAGTTTCTCGTAATCTATGGTAATAGCCACAATTCTTGCTATTAAGCTCCCACACAAACTTGCCGCAAGGCGGTGCTACATTGCGGTAATGCATGATGAACTATGCATCGGCTTCGGCGTTAGAACACTGATACTGTTTTTTTTTGCCGTTGCGTTGCCTAAACATGTTATCCTTCTTTTTAGATCGACGGCGACTGCTATATTCTGGGCTGCCGACACGGTCCCCTGCATGGGAGGTTTTCCCGAAACCAAGTAGACCTGTGCCGCGCTGGTCATCTATCGCTGACCGACGTGCCGGAGCGGAGCGTGACCGTGCGAGAGGCGGCCAGGGCTCAGTCGGGGGGGGAAAGGGCAAGGTTTTCTTAAAGGTAGACTGCCACCTTTTTTTCACAAAACGGTTTTCACTAGAGCTGAGCCACCTATGTCCCAGGCTGAAGTCGGTTTTCCGAAATTCGAACCCGTTTGCGAGAAATCGGAGACCAAAGTTCAGTTTGATGCCATTTTTTAGTCCAAGAAAGCCGACATCTCTACTGTTTATCGATAACTTTGAAACATGAATTTTCTTATCTTTTGGTAAACATATGTCAAAACTTTGATTGTTTCGAGATCAGAGAAGGATTTTGGAGTGTCAAAATAAAAGTTAAACTTATATATTCAGTAGTTCATTTTTTCCAAAAAGTGTGGGAAATGGGGTTTAACATGGGCCAGACCCATTCCAAATGAGGCATGATTTTTAAATGTTTTACGAACTTAAATGCAAAATAAATTAAACATGGCCAATTTCTTATGAAATCATATATTAGTAAATCATAAAATACCTTACTTTTTCAAATAAAATGTAATAATCTTATGACCTTGAAGTCTAGTGATGTGTAAACATTGTCGCTAGACATTAACCGATTGATATTTGTATGATAATCGACAATTTTTTCCGCGATTCACGTGATGATACTTTGTCAGGTGAATTCTAAAATTTTGTTTTGTCCAGGGAATAAATCATAGGCCGATCTGAGAAAACTTTTTGAAGGTGGCAGTCTTCCTTTAAATGTACCTGTGTCCGGTCCTGCACCGGTAAGTGCAAGTGCATACGAAATGCCGTGAAGTGTACAAGCCGATGCCACAAAAGTCGTCCTTGTACAAATCCAGAGTGAACATGTGGACGCGTTTTTGACTAAAGGCTCGTGGCTTACTCCATTTGCGTGAGAGCAGTGCGTAGAACTTACCTTCATCTTAAGCGACCGACAGAGTGGAACGTGGGAGTTCTTAACCCTCGCCGGCACAAGCCATTTTACGTTATATATATATATATATATATATATATATATATATATATATATATATACCTCACGAAAAAATACTCTGTCTGTATGAAATTTTACCAAAAACAATATTTATATTTAGAGGTAGCTCAATGGGGTCATAATTGGTACATATTGACCAAACGTACATTGTGAACGGGGATTCAGATATGTGTCGCGCCTTTCCAAGCATTGCCATATTTGAGCCATAACACGTTTAAATGAATGATAGATGCCTTCCTATTTGTTTCATAACCACAGTGTTTCTTGCCGCAAACGCGCTGTGACGCAATGCGTGATTCAACCAATGGCCGTTCAGGGTAGTTAAGCTTATTTTGTTCGGTGACGGTAGCCCGCTGCCAGGCGTGTAACTTCAGCTCTTCTCTCATAATACGATGGCTGGGAAGGGTCACGAGATTGCTAGCACTTACCCAAGATTACTTTACGCACTTACCGGGGTTACATGAGCAAGTAAATGCGTATCATGAATGTTTTTCTTCGCTGAGTATTGTGATCCGTTTGTAAAACGCATTTATTCTGCTCATGTATCCCCGGTCACTGATGCGCAGGGGGACACTGCCAGTGTACGGCCACAGGGCAGGTCTCCGTGTCTTCGTGATGTCAGGGAGAAGACGTGCACGTGAAAAAGATAAAAAGATAAGTTGTGTTTTGCTAAGCCATTTCAGAAAATTTTTTCGCTAGCCAGGCTCAAACTGACAGGCCGCAGCAAACGCTGTTAAATTCTGGAATCCCTCGATGAGTGAGAGTTGAAGGATTGAGTGAAAACGCTCAGTTTTGACACAAGTGCATCGAACACCGGCCTCAATGCAGGAGCCTGCACGATCATCGAGCAGCGGCTCGAGCAGGACTTGCTCCACCTGACTTGCCACGATATTTACGAGTTTGTTCTAGACATTTTCAGCCTGCCTCGGCCCGTCCAGCGGCCCGGACGTTGTTTTGTTTAAGCGCTTCCATAGAAAGTGGGCGTCTATAGATGGAACGAAGCCATAAACCTTCAAGAACTGTGACATGTCCCACCTCCACAACCCGCGTGATGCTCTTGCACAGTTCGGTCGTATATCCTTGACCGCCAGCACTCACGCGACAACCGTGAGATGCTGGAGCTGGCCATCACTGTCCTCGGTGGTGCTCCGAAACGAGGTATGAAGATCGCTCGCCCCGATATGCTCCGTGTGTGCTGGTTGACCAATGCCATTTACGCTATGAAACTTTACCTCTTCCGAGCACAATCCCGGCTCACTACGTCTAAGAAGAAGAGCTTCCAGCGAATCGTGACCTTTGTGGTAACAACGTAGTTTTCGGCTCAATTCAATGCACCGCTTCTGGCGTCTGCACCAGCGCAAGATCTCGACTTCCTCAAGTCCCTTTTGGAGTGCGAATTGGATGAATTGGTGTTCGAATTGGTGTCCAAGGCGACAGCCATTGTCTTCAGCCGCCACCTCTGGTATCTAAATGAGAAGCTGGTCGCCCTCATCTTCTAATGAAGGAGATTACGATCGCTGCTACTAAACGTGAGATGGCTGCATCGTTACGAGAGACGGAGAGGGCCGAGGACCTCCCCCCCCCCCCGTCGAGCCCACGTTGAACTTACTATAGCTTCAGTCTCTAGCAAGTCCACGGCAGACTTCGTCATATCACAGCTGGCTTCACAAGCTTCTTGAGCATCCTCGGTATGGACACCGACTTCCTCTCGAAGGATCCGATTCTTTGGGAGGTCAAGCCATTCTACAACGCCGCCATGCGCTACATGAGGTTTCTTCACGCCTCTACGACTTCGCGGAACGAGGCATTTTGTTGATGGCCAGGAAATCGATCTGACCCCCACGAAGGATAAAGACTAACAGCAGCTCCTTTTGTAGGTCGTCGAGGAGCAAAGACGCAAGCATTCTGACATACGCAAGGCGATCGTAACTTCTAAGTAGGCAAGACTAGCCGACGAATGATGTGTACAAGTGTTGGCTGATTACGGATGATACCGCTTTCTCTTTTTATGGAGTTATGCAGTAAGTTATGCATACCTTCAAAAGAACTATGTACTGAGTACTCATATGTACCTATATATCTGAGCTTTAGGTGCTGAAACGTTTCGATAAAGTCTTGACAACGTCAAATGTCATTGTGAACGTCAGAAATATACGTGGAAATTAAAATTTCGGCAAAGTTGTGTTTTTCACAAAAATGTGAACTTTGACCTGGTTGAGCTACCTCTAAATAAACATACTTTCCAAAAATATTTTACACACAACGTTTTCTCGGGTGGTAGAACAGATTGGCTGCCCGTCCCGTTGAAAATTCTCAAAACGAAATTTTAGCCCCGTTTTAGTGCCACCCTATATATATATATATGCATTGTTCATTGAACTTGACAGCAGATTCTGCTTTAATAAGCTTCTTGTTCAAGTGTTCGATAGATCGAATGGTTTTCTTGACGTGACACGATACTTGTTTAACGATCTCATTAAAAGTTGTCATATATTGACTTTATTCAAGACTTAAGCTTTCGAAATTATCACAATTTCATGATCACAAGGTTTCAGGGTTTTTGTTTTATCAACAATGAGATGCAGAGAACATTGCAAGTAAAAATTCTAAGTAAAAGAAAATCGTGACATGGTGAGTAGCCATCTCCGTTGAAGCAATTTCTTGGCAGTGAGGAAAATGGGTACATGTAATCTACAGATATGGGTCATTCATTAATATCTACACAGTGCACTGTGCACATCCACAGCGTCAATGTTGAGGACAGTTTCCATCTAAACCTAGTTCCAGAGAGACAGTGTTGTTGTAGACTGGCACTGTTTGTTTAGATGAGGGCTGTACTCTCGGATGTACAGGGCCTCTGTAATCCATATTCTTCTATGGTCATTACACGAATGGATGACATCCGTGTTTTCGGTGAGCGTTTTGCGTGTGATGTCTTGTCCGTGCTCCTCTTTTGCGTGCTTCTTGATGGCACCTTCCCTGAGGTGCATTGTTAGCCGTCGAGAGAGGCTGGTCGTCGTAGCGCCAATGTATTTATCGCGGTTGAGGAGTCTGCAACCTCCTTCAGGGCAACTATACTGATAAATCACATTGGTTTTCTGTAGATGGTTGTTTTTCTTCGTTCTGGCTTTTGTTTTTTGCATGTTGTTTTTCAGCACAAGACTTGATGTTTTGGCTGTGTTGTAGTATATGACGACATTAATACGTTTGTTGGCATCTGTGCTTGTGACGTTTGATGTGATGATGTTTTTCACGATACGCTCTTCAAGCTTGTAGGCAGAGTTCATCTGGCTTCGGTAGAACAGATTGATGTTGTCTTTCTTGTCTGATGTAAATTGGTGGTTTTCATGAAGTTTGTTGAGATGCGACCTAATTTCTGAGCTGACTTGTTGGTTGCTGTACCCGTTGTTGACCAGCACTTGCTGTGTTCGGATCAGCTCGCTGTGCATTGTTTCCCAAGAGGAACAGTGTGTGATCGCTCTTCTGACAAAGGAGCGAATCACGCTAGCCTTGTACCGTTCTGGGCACTCGCTTCTAGCATTGAGACAGCTGCCTTCGTCAGTTGCCTTCCTATAGACCGATGTTACACACCTGCCGTTCGCGACTTCGATGTTGACGTCCAAAAAGGGGAGTCTGTTCTCGACACTCATCTCATAAGTGAACTTCAGTACCGACTGCTGTTCAAAGGTTGATTTGAGGGCGATCACTTGTGCCTCATCTCTGACACAGATAAGTATGTCGTCCACATATCTAGCGTACATGCTTGGCTTAATCAGTGGGTTTTCCAGGATACGGTTCTCAACAGAGCACATATAGAAGTTCGCGAAGAGGGGACCTAAGGGTGAGCCCATCGCGACGCCATCCTTCTGTCTGTAGATGGTGCCGTCGGGTCCTCTGAAGGGCGATTCTGTGGTGCAGATCATGAGCAGCTGTTGAAGTATCTTCCTAGGGAGGCGGAGAGGTGGAAGAATATCACCACTGTACACATTATCAAGAATGATGTCTATCGTTTGTTCCACTGGCACATTCGTGAAAAGGCTCTACATCCAGCGATGCGAGAACACCATCAACTTGTTTCTCACGAAGGAGATCGATCAGTTCTTCGCTCGATTTCAGACAGTGCTTCGCGGGCATGAAGGGAATGAGAAGCTCATTTAGACGCTTAGCAAGCTTGTACGTTGGAGATGTGACCTGCGCTATTATTGGTCGCAATGGATTGTTCGTCTTGTGTGTTTTCACGTTTCCGTAGGCATAGCCTGGGCTGTATTCACCGACTATTTTGGAGAAATGGACCGCACCAGTCTCAGCATTTGCTGCGGTGATCAGACGGTTTGCTTTTGCTTTAACTTTATCGGTTGGGTCATCTTTCAGTTGTATGAATTTCGTTTCATCACTGAGTATGTCTTTCATCTGGTCGAGGTAAGTGGTTTTGTCCAGAACTACGAACACCGAAGACTTGTCGGCTCTACGGATAACGATATTCTCGTTTTCCCGCAGCTCCTTTGCAGCCTCAGTTCCTTGGTGAGTATTTTTGACTGACTGTTTCCTCTGAGCTTTGCACTTTCTCCGATGAGCAGATCCCTCAGTGCTGTGTCGACGGTAACTTTCTGCTCCTTTTCCAGTCTTAGAATGTCTTGATACAATATTTCAAGTGATGTTTTCTTTTCGATTGTACTATTTCTTGATTGGTAATGACATTTGAGTCCTAAATTCAAAAACTTTTTCTGAGTCTCTGTCAGCTCTACATCCGACCGATTCACGAAGTTGTCGTTCCCTTCGGGTAGCATAGCACGACCACCGTAAAGTTTGGAAAGCTTCTTAGATATTTTGATTTTGTTTTGATGGCGGCAATTCTCCCGAGCGATATCCAAGTGCTCCTGGATTTGCACACGCAAATCCAGGTGGATGTCGCTCTCTGACAATGTGTTTTCCTTTTCAAGGATCTGTTGCTTGAGTTCTTTGATGGCAACATTTTTCTTTTCGATCTGATGAACAATCAGCCTCTTACGAAAGTCCTTCACAAAGGGTTCCTGCTTTACTGCCGGGTCATGGGGCTTAATATTCGTATATATTGGCAGCGTATTTTCCAGTATGCATTGTTCATTGAACTTGACAGCAGATTCTGCTTTAATAAGCTTCTTGTTCAAGTGTTCGATAGATCGAATGGTTTTCTTGACGTGACACGATACTTGTTTAACGATCTCATTAAAAGTTGTCATATATTGACTTTATTCAAGACTTAAGCTTTCGAAATTATCACAATTTCATGATCACAAGGTTTCAGGGTTTTTGTTTTATCAACAATGAGATGCAGAGTACATTGCAAGTAAAAATTCTAAGTAAAAGAAAATCGTGACATGGTGAGTAGCCATCTCCGTTGAAGCAATTTCTTGGCAGTGAGGAAAATGGGTACATGTAATCTACAGATATGGGTCATTCATTAATATCTACACAGTGCACTGTGCACATCCACAGCGTCAATGTTGAGGACAGTTTCCATCTAAACCTAGTTCCAGAGAGACAGTGTTGTTGTAGACTGGCACTGTTTGTTTAGATGAGTTCACTGATGAGATGAGATGAGATTACTGAAGTTCACTAATGAGATGAGTGTCGAGAACAGACTCCCCTTTTTGGACGTCAACATCGAAGTCGCGAACGGCAGGTGTGTAACATCGGTCTATAGGAAGGCAACTGACGAAGGCAGCTGTCTCAATGCTAGAAGCGAGTGCCCAGAACGGTACAAGGCTAGCGTGATTCGCTCCTTTGTCAGAAGAGCGATCACACACTGTTCCTCTTGGGAAACAATGCACAGCGAGCTGATCCGAACACAGCAAGTGCTGGTCAACAACGGGTACAGCAACCAACAAGTCAGCTCAGAAATTAGGTCGCATCTCAACAAACTTCATGAAAACCACCAATTTACATCAGACAAGAAAGACAACATCAATCTGTTCTACCGAAGCCAGATGAACTCTGCCTACAAGCTTGAAGAGCGTATCGTGAAAAACATCATCACATCAAACGTCACAAGCACAGATCCCAACAAACGTATTAATGTCGTATAACTATTCTATTTGCGTCGGTTTGCGGGTTTTTTGAAGTGCTCAGTTTTTGCAGCGAGCTTTTTCTCTTAGGGCCTGCGAGATAGCCGCGGAACCACATATCTCTTAAGCATTGGCTTCAGACACAGGAATGCGGCTGATTCACGTGCTTTTGTGAGCGAGGTGCTTCCCTCCCGGAGAAATTCGCCGTCCCCATATGCTTAACACAGAGCCGAGCGGCGGCTGACAGGTGGCCGGCTCTCGGGAGATGGGCAGCCGACACTCGAAAAATCGACAGCCCGCCGCTGAATGCGCGTGCGGCAGTGCTGAGCCGAGTCGTTCCCACGGTCTGGCGGCCAGCTGGGTGGGGGCGGGGTGGGGAGTGGGGCGGCCGATTGCCAGCCGCTTCTCCACGGGCAGGTGCTGCCACCTGCGCAGTAGTTCCACTGGCGGCCGCC